ACGCATCAACAGGAATTTGGGAGTTTCGGGTATCGCGGTAGATGCGATGAAGAAGGTCATGCTGCTCGTTGTCGTGGGGAGCTAGTATGACGAAGTAGATGATGCGTTGCAAGACCTAGTCGATGTTAGAATGTGAGACAGACTAAGAAAACAATGGCACCAAACGTACAGGTTTCAGCTTCGCAGGATCTTCCTCGACAGCTTCGGTATCCAGTACTTGTCTGTAATGTTTGCAGACGTCAAGGTACTTGTCGTCGTGCTTTGCCAGGGTGATCTGTTGCTCGTAGTATGCCAGCTTCAGGTCCGTGGTGTCATCCTCTTCTTCGGGAGGTACCTCCTCACCGCGCTTCAGCTTCTCCTCACGAACCTTCTTCTCCTTCTCGATCTGTTCCGGCGTCTTCTTGGGCTTCCGCGCCAGATATCTGGTGCTGATCTTGCGGCTGAGGATACCAGCCTGCGTCCAATCGCCGTTCTCAATACACAAGGCGACTTGGGCGAGTATGAACTCGGTCTTCTCACGTCTGTCCATCGATCCGAAGGTTTCTACCTGCAATTCACACAGAATGTCCATCGCGGCCTTGAGGTCACCTTGTTTCTTCTTGATATCCGACAGGATTTTGGTCACGCGAGCTCTCTCAACCTCAACGAATATCTTGCCCTCAGTCACGGTACGCAGGGTCTCGATGACCGAGAGCTTGGTTTCCAGGTTCGGAGTATCATCGAGGAAGGACATGACGGTCTGGACCATCTTGGTAATAGCTTGTTTTAGCTGGCCATGCTTCTTGGAGAGTACCAAGACCTGGTCATTAAGTAGACTCCAGTTTCCGGCATTCTTGCAGATTGTACATATGGCGATTAGAACTCGGGATGTGGATGCAAGATCGGACGCCTGTAGAGCATAATGGTCAGTAAATATTTGAAGGCTACGAGTGTTAAAGAGGATAGCTGACCTGTCGGGTTTGTTTCTCGAATGCGGTGAGCTTTTCAATAGCAGCTTGGATATCATTCTATAATACGAAATCAGTAATGAATACCTCAAGGTAAAGGCATTAAGATGAGCGCACCTTAGCGAGCTTCTCTGCTTCGCTAATCTGAACATCCGCCTCTTTGCTGAAGTCCTTCTCGGGCTTCAGAGCTGCGTCCGCCATGATTCCTGGACTTTCGCGTCGATGTGAAACGTAGACAGATAGAGGCGCAATACGTGCTGGATAAAACTTGGATAATAGACTCCGGCGGATTTGGTTTGGTGGGAAGTAATTGGTGCGGTAGTTGAAAGACGGAGATTAGGTATGGCGTAGAAGGAACACTGAAGCTAAGAATTACCAGGCGGTACGTTGAATGCGAGGCAACGAAAGCTCACGCCTGCCTTGCAGCATCGAATTGATTGGTCCAAGCGCAAAGCTTGGTCAGCCAGATAAGATCAAGTCACATGCAGATAAGAATTATGATCTTGCCTTACAACATTATTATTTATGTTAGATTTATTCATATTCATTCATTCATTCATTCATTCATAAAATTCTTAAGAGAGCTATTCAAGTAGATGACCAACACCCTTATAAGCCCCCTTCTCTTCGCCCCAGACCCCTTTACACAATAGCCAGGGCATTCGCCGTAGTCGCTATTCCTCCTACATGTTTCCGTTAGACAGGAAATAAGTCGCACCTTATTAGGGACGTACCTTTAACATGGTTTGGAGCACTCGTAAGAAAGAATGTCCATTTCTTCCTTTCGGCACACTTCTCCGCGAGTTTCTCGAGATCCCAAAGCTCACCAATAGGACAACCCCACAGCGCCAACAGCTTTTCATGAAGGTAATAATCTGTTATTATTCAACACATATCAGCATTAGTCCCCTACTTCCAGTTCAACGGATCGATAATTCTAGCATACCCTTTTCAGATGGCCATGCTTCAAATGCAGGTTGATCGCCCGCAACGGCCGAGAAGTAAGAGTCGTGCAAGAAGTCAAGAATCTCCTCACTCTGCTCCACTCCAATGTAGCGCTGTCCATCATCAGGTCCAAACCGATGGGGTTGGAGGTGGCGTGCTGCCTTCTGTTCGTACGTAAGCGTGTTTGAATTCTTCAGGAAACCAGATCTGATTAAGAGTATATCCCCAATCTGGACGTCGCCCCCTTGTCTCGCAGGCCTTAAGTCGATTGCCTGCCTCTGTGCTGTACTAACGAGGGCGCTATAGCTGATCTTAAAGTTATCGTAGAAGTCCAATTTGATATTGTTGGCTTCCGCGTAGCCAGCGTAATCCAGAAGAATACCCCTACCCGCGATACCACGAGTAGCCCATGCATGTATACCACATTTAGTGGAAGCTTTGGCACCTAGGATATCTTCGGGAGTGGTCTAGATGATATAGTTATGCGTAAGAATGACGCATCCAAAGCGTGTGGATGCTATTTTAGATAGACCTACTCTATTATAGAAATATCCTGAAGGGATATGGGCAAACTAGGCACTCTGGGTTAACCATTGTCTATACGGAGTATGATGAAACTCACATGACGGAACCCATCCCACTGGGAAGTACTCTGCGGGTTCATTTCGTAGGTATCATCAAATGCATACCTAGATCCCTTTGGGGTAATGTGGTGTTTGAAAACTGCTCGATCATAGCATGGCGGTGCTGGTTGATCAAATGGAAGACTAGTATACAGATTAGTAAAGGTTATTCACTTGTTACGGGCATACTATTATTAATAGCATTATCAGGATGAAATACTGACCCAAGAGGGATAACCTCTCCAGAAGATACAGTTTCCAACGCTTTCTTAACCCTCTCCGGCGTCTGTAGGTTTAGTCTTCCCAACTTTAGGTAGACACCGTCAACGAATAGTCCCAGATCTACTATGAGAATAAAACAAGAACGGACGAACCTCGTCATCGCTCCCCCATATCCATGCCGAATCTTCTGGTTCGCCAGATTTAGGACGCAAATCTTTTCTCAATGGAAGCTCCATGTTGAATTATAGTGATGAGTATTTCAATGTAATGTCTCGTAAACTAAACCCAGGTAAGAATGATGAGAATAGTATAATGAATACAGAACAGCGAGATTCATCTCTAGCGGCGGGGAAGGAGAACGATCGTTGGAGTAATATATCTACCAATAGATATCCGCCCTATCCGGCTATCATTCTACAATACTAGAAATTCCCCTCATGAGGTAGCCCATACCATAACTAGCAGTCTCATATTACTTTTTATGACGTGTATAGCACTAAAATTGTGGTTTCACGACACCTTGTGTATCCTAAAGAGGTACCTACTCTCATAAATACCGCGCATTCAAATGGACCACCATTTTACAGTAGGAGGTTTCTTCTTATCTCGGGGAGTGTATATTTCTCAGTAATCAATATATTGCACTATTTGCGGAAATTTATAAATGAAACGAAATCTACCGGGCATTGGTTTATAGGACAACTTGAATCTGTCTTTACCAGAAGCCCCTATCCAGTGACTAATTAAGCGATTCTCGGCTGCGATGCTTGTTGGGAAAAGGAAAGCAATTCGCCTATTTTAGTAGAAGTAAACATGCCCTCTTTCAGTCAAGGCTCTACGTGATGTTTTAAGTAAACTCGATAAAGGTATATAAGGCACATATTCTACTACCGTGAAATCTATAGGTATTTACCTCCTACATACATAATAAGGAATGCTACCATCCACTATCTCGAATAAGAGGCAATTTCACGAGCCCTGGCCAGCATGCCTTTCAGCTATACCATACGAACCCCTCGACTAACAGATACTACCATTTCTGATTGTTACTGGGGTTTTTGATAGGGTTAGTTCAGATGTTATTAAAGATTCATCCTTTCTATGATCGGAAGATTGCAATCATCATCGTATGTCGAAATTTTGAGTATTGAGCGGAATCTCTCCGTAGCTGCAGCCGAAAAAAATCGCATTTGACTGCTTTAGAAGCCTTCTACAATAATGGGAAAGTCCATCTGAACAGGCATTTCGTAGATTGTCATTTAGGGGTTGAACTCCCCTTAAACTTTACCCCCTGGACTAGAGGCTGTCATATAACAATACACACTGCAACCCTAAAGCCGAAAGTAATTCTGTGATGGTGTTAGTAATATGACTATCCATATGATATAATTCTAAAATTCTATAGCTTCATACATGAAATTCCTAGGATTATAGTAAAGTCTGACATGAAATGGTGGCAATACAATAATATTTAACCTCGAGGCGAATACAAGGATAATTCTGTCCTCAAGTAGCATGCTTCTCAATGCCGTAAACCATTAATACTTGGTCTCGCACCAAGTTTTTTAAGATTAACATTTATCTGCTATATCGGCTACAACTTGAGTAGTAGATTTACAGAGAGGTATGTGGTAAATGGCTCATCAAAATCCTTGAGGCTTACGTGGCCACATCACTGACCTGAGAACGTCTTAAATTCAGAAGTAAGGTTGATTTACGGCTGTTATGCCATATTTTCCGTTTGGAGTCATTTGAATAGCCAATTCAAATAAGTGTTAACCATTACCTACATAGCTACAAGGCAATGGGATTGTCTTACAGACATACGACGTCTGTGCCTTACCCGTACTAGTAGCATTAGGCAGGTAGAAAAGAATATATATCTCGAATAATATATATAAAAAAACAATAAAGAATTACCTTCCATGGCGGTATAATTAAATATTGAATGTAATTCATGTTAAACCAATAAAAGTTACCACTTAGCAGTAGAAGGCCGCGTCTAAATTTGAGTTTTATATAGTTTTCACGCTTTCCTATTCATGCCCTCTGCTTGTTACAAATGAGATTCTGATACTTCTACTCGTCTAATTTTTCTTTTAACATGAAGAGCAGCCTATTTGTACATGATCTACCTCACAACTCACTCTTCCCGTATATGGCCACGGACCAAGCGCTAACAAGGCCAAGGCATATTAGCCAACTCTGCTAGTCAAATTTTTCATTGGCAACGAACAGTCTAGACAAGGCATATAGAAACCAATCCGAATTGGTGTAGTGGCTAACATTTGACGCTCTCAAGCTATTGTGACCCGTCAAGCCCGGGGTTCGATTCCCCGATTCGGAGTTCATTCTATATGATCCTAATGTCCATGTCTCATAAGCAGAAGAAAGATTGGCATTCCTCCTTTTTTTTCTGTCTCTCTTTTTTTCTCATTCGTATGATATGTAAAGGCAATTATAATAAACCCCTTAAACCACTTTTGTTGTTCGATTCTATACAAGTCTTCTAGTAGAATCTACCTAATTCGACAACAGATGTGTGGCGTTTTATTATGGTAATTTTGGAAGCATGGAGATTTTAAGAGGACCCAAGACAAATCTTTTAGTAATACGTGTGGTATACTGAATGTGTTATTAGGTGGTTAGTGATAGAGCTCAAGTAGCATTTATCGCCAAGGTAGCTTGATTGAAATGATTTATCTCATTTTTAGCCCAACCAGAAGAGGAGGCAGAACTACGCGTCTTAGGAACGTTATCACAGCGAATGATCAAGCTCTCTATATCAGAATAGTCTGTTGTTATGGAGAATTTCAATTTGGGAGCCTGTCTTGCGAGCCACGTACTTTTCACCCAAAATATCAGCGAAATCGCGAAGGAATCACAGCCTTTTAAAATATTCGGAGCCAAACATTGAGAGTTATGTCTTGGGCACTAATAGTCCTAGAGTACCACTTAGATGTCCATATCACAGTATCTATAGCAATCTGCAGACGAATCCATGCATTTCTGTAAGTTCCAAAGGACATGTGAACACAAATCGTACCTCTGGATGTTGTCTTCAGGAGCTCCATAAACGGTGACCCGCATATGTATAATGTCTCAGGACACACATCCTTGTTCCTTTGCTTCATGTCTTCCTCACAAAGTCTACCTCTTTGTTGTAAATACTTTCATTCTGGGGAACTTGGGCTTGGCCTCATTGTTCAAGGCTTCTCGGCTGTGAAATTAACTATAAGCGTTTCAGCAAAATGAAATAGCACAAGCCAAAGCCATTCACGAACATAGCCATAAAGTATGATAGAAATTTGCTAGTTGTAATTCGTTCTTAACAACTAGAAGACTTATATGCCCTTATATTTGCTCTACTGGCATTGATATCCGACTCCGGCGCACAGTTCTATGGACAACTTCCAAACTCGGCACAGTACCGTGCCCCTTATTTTTAATTATCCCACCGTGCACTTCCACCAAGAGTAGCTCTTAATCTAAGTTCACGGCGTATCTACACCATATTCTCGCCGATTTTCGTCGTCTTAGGCAGTAAGCTTGGGACAAAGATTACGACGTGTAAAAATTATATCGTCTCAAAAATCTAGACGCTTGCCATTACCCAATGGTGCGCCCAATGATGATTACCCTGCGAGAAGTACCGATTTCCCACCCCCTACTACCCAGCATCAAACCATAACCGCACACACTACGGCTTCAACCCTAGTCTTCTGAACCTGCAGCAAGTGTTCGTATTCGGTCCGTCACCCTCCTGATTCCCCCAAACCAGGATTCTTCGAACCCACCACGCAGCAAGGAGGTTAGCCAACACAATTCTACCTACCCAACAAAATGCCTGCAAAAAAGCAACGCAAGCCCGACCCGATCCCCGAGTCGGAATTCACCGGGGTACACTACTCCTGGCGAGACCAGCACATGAAGGAATTCGACAAGGAGGCCGCCGCCTGCGCTGCCGCCGTTGGCGCCCGAGGTAAGAAGAAGATGGTGACCAACGCAACAGCTTCTTCCACCGAGAAGCATGAATCTCCCCCCACAACCGACCCTCTGATCACCAAGCCCAGCCCCAGTCCCTACTGCACCAATGACCAGCCTACTCGAGTGAGTCTTCGTGTGGATTGGTCGCTCAGTTTCGATCCACCTCTCACCCCTGGCCGTCCTCAGGCTCTCAGCTACGCCAACGGTAGCACTGTGTTCCATTCCCCGTATTTCGCTACTATGCGTGGTGCGGCTGCATGGACTGATTCCGCGGAATGGCCTTGGAGCGAAGGAGAGCGCCGTCAGTGGTTCAAGTGGCGCGAAGAGCCGGAGAAGGAGAACGAAGGTGGTGACACAGCCTCGTCCACGCACTCCTCATCGCCTGCCGCCCTTAGCCGTGGTCAACGTCCCGAGAAGGAGGCGAAGGAAGGACTGGACGAAAAGGACACGAAGCACGTTCCTGTCCAGGCCCAGGCCCAGGCCGCACATCATCGACAGCCCGGCTTGAGCTACCGCGACGTCGTCCGCCGCTCTTAGGATCCGACGCAAAGCAGCCCAAATCCAGTCAACTGCTGTGGGGGAAGCTTGCGGGGCGTTTGCTCCGGTTACATCGTCCAGTTTCTCGGTTCGTTCAGAATACTAGTAATGGCGATAGCAGACGAAGGGACACGGTCAGCTAGAGCACGGCATGTGGGGTTGCTAATTATTCTAATGGAGTCTCACAATACGCGCCGATGGTATGCTATTTCGCACACTGTTTTGCAGTGCTGGAACGACTGGACGATAGCTACCTAGGTAGTCGAAATGCCACGCTGTTCATTTGAATCCTATCCATTTAGCTATTCACATGAAGATCGCCGTGGAGCATCTGGTAGTCTAGGTAAACCGAGAGTACCAAAGAAAAATACAAAAAAAAATGCAAGTTGACATCGAATATAGTCTATTTTCTAGGCTAAGGAGTGAGAGTATCATGCATATAACGGACTTGCTAAGTATTGGCACTAAAGTAGAGTAAAACAAAAATCAACTAAGCGTCGGTAAGATATTCTTGGATGATCTGGTCCAGAAGCTTGGAAACAGAGACGACGTTGTTCCATCAGAACATTGACTCAACAGAACTATTGAGATATAGTAGGCAGCAGTGTGGAGATTTAGCCTGAGGCAACGCCTAAAGCGCTACTAAATATTTTGCCCCTATCGTAGAGGCGAATAAAATACGTATGTCTCGGGTTGCCTTGTTTCCATCCTAGCACAGAATAGCTATCAAAGAGTCAGTTCGACTAATAAGGCTGTACCAACTACCGAGATGAGCAGATATCTGAAACAGGCAGCATGATGACGAGAGCTTGTCTCGTTATCGAAACAAGATTAACGAGTACACCATCAACACTCCGAAGTCCGGATTATCATAAGGCTTCGTCATGGGTACGACGGATATGCACCCGGTAGGGGTTGGTGATAATATGGAAAATGCTCGTATCGGATGACCTGCTGACGAATTATGCATGGCGCGTTTTTAGGAAACTACATGAGAATCCGACAACTCTGAACCCAGTTGTCTAAAACTAATAGTATCACGGAGTGGCAAAAGAGAAAGAACTTGTATGTTGAAGCGAGGATTGTAGTTAATACCGAGCCAAATATTTCGGTCATGTGATAGGGAGTTAGCATCAGCCACAATACGAATTATGGCTTAGCTCAATGCATTGGATATAGTTGGTGCGAGAAACGTGGCGAATGTTCCCGAACATGTCCCCGAAGTGGTAACGGCGGATTGGCGGGGCGAGACGAGTTCCGAGCGGACACTGGCGGATTAACGACTCGAGGCTGCAGTCAGCTGCGGATCGACCGGTTGCCTGATTGTTCGGTATCGTCCATAAAGAGGCATGATTATCGGTGATGAATAGCTACTGCACGTCTGACGGGCGAAAAAAACGACGTGTTATATCGTTCCTTGCATCGGATTTCGTTTTATCCGCGGGTTGCCTCAATGCCAGTGTCAGTATCTCGCTGCCTGTGGATTGGGGTCACAAAAAATATGATAGCTACGCCCAAAGCTGTGGCGAACGGAAATGTCTTAATTATTATATTGAAATATAGTATGTATTAGAGCAAGGTGACCAAAGGTGACCGAACTCGTACATACACGTGTACGTACCTTTCAACCCGGCATTAGTGCTAGTTCGCATCTTCAAGGTTCGCGGTTTGGCGATCTCCTAATTTTTCCCCTAACAACCCTAGATGATCAAGATCGCGTAAAGAAATTTGCCAATAGTATACTGAGGAGCTTAATCCGAACCCTAAGCATGTTTAAATGTGTGGAACCCTCCACATTTGTACTCACCGAACCGACACGGAGCCTAGAGACCGGACCGTCTTCCAGATGCAACTTTTTCATAGAGTACCTAGGGTACTGGCCAAATCCGAAGAGGGGTTGCCATATACGAAGGCGGTGGCATATGCATACTAAATACTATATACTATAGTTATAATGACGGAAGAAGCAGCTAGCATTAGATCAGAGAGGCTGGAGTGGTAACGCATGCAATGTAGCATCGCAATCAGACAGATCTCGATGATTCTTGGTCGTGACCATAATAGTCATAATAATCGCCATCAATAAACTGTGAATTTTTGTCAATCCGGGCGGCACTAGCGACGCGCACGAAATCGAGTATGTATCTTATTTCCGACATTCGTGGGAGAGCACAAATTGCGGTCTGGAAGTGAGCAATAATGTGATTACCTTGTTGTGCATCTTATCTGTATAAGCGGGTGAAAAGCTCCTAGCTTGGCATTGTCCCGGGACCGCTGTTCGATTAGTGGTAGTTAGTAGCCCCGGCCGTTTGGGTACGGCAGAGGTGCCGCTAGAAGCCTTACGGTTGCAGTCGGCGGGACGGTTGGGCACGAAATTGGCTCCTGAGTTTCAGGCCAAGATGAGACGATGGTCAGAGAGAGAAATGAATAGGTAGCAGCATAGGAGTTGTGGGTAAGATGAATTACGCACATACATACAGGAGGAGTATGTAAGCCTACATGTATGTAGGATGTTAGGCCCTAGTGCGGATCGTGGGGAGGAGGTGGGAACATCCCGAGAGGACCATATGGGAACAGACGCGAAGTGGGGGATTTTGATCGTTCTCGAAACATTAATCCCTTTTTCTTTCTATATTTCCCATGCGAGAAGGGTCTCAGAGAGGGGACTACCTTGATCTCGGTCCATGCAGCGAACTCATTTGAACCACTGGCGCCACCGTATCGGTACTGGTGATCAAATAGGAATCTTGCTTTTGGTAGACGCATCGTAGACGCAATACGTCGGTTCTCTGCCTATTCGCGGACGGACCGGAGGTTTGTGGC